CGCCCACCTCTCGAACGGCATGGGTTAGTTGAACGTAGGTTAAATGGCATCTCATTAGAATTTCGGGTTCCATAATTTTTCCGACAATTCACCTATTGCGGATAAAAGAAGAAATGAGTTTCAACTTGTTTTCGTTGGTAATATGGAAGAAGGCTGTTATACAACGGGCCGCTGACCAACATTTCATGAGAGGAGATTCCTTCAGTTGACTGATATTTTGCTTGCGTTTAATGAAAATCATTTCAAAGGGACAATGACGTGTGAATCTCACTGATCACCGGCGCTACAGGTTCCGTCAGGTTGGATACATACAAACAAGGGGGAATTCTTAAAACATGAATTTGGCACCGCATTCCAAGGTGAACAAAGTCAACCGATTGCTCATTCATCTTCCAGCTTAACCTAACACACAACACGACGGTATCAAGATTCACGCAAACCTAATTACTTTGTCAACTGGATGCAACCCTTTTGTGACAGGAAAATATTTTCATTCGCTTTGTAGTACGTATACCGTCACAGACTACCACACACTAACAAATCAGAGCTTAACTTGCTCTGTCGAAATACAGAAATAAAACTTTTGAAGATCATTTTGGCTATCCCTATCAGGTTTCTTCTAACGAAATTCATTAGATTTCCCGATGACACAGTTCCCACAGCGAGTTGTCTGTGTGGGCACATTTTTCCGCTTTGATCGGTTTCAATCGTAGATTTCGTCTCCGTAGCAAAACTATTAGTTTAAAATAGTTTCCAAAACCTTCCAACTTTCCAACACCTTTCGCATAGAATTTGGGTCTCTCTCCGTTCTATCGTTAACTGAGTTGTTGTCGAACAGGCAGCAAAACATACATCGTTTAGTGATCGTGAGTGGCTTAACCTGGTCGCCTATCACGCTTACCGTGGACAAAATTTTACGAGGAATTTGCAGGTTACGATTAACAACAAGGAGCTCCTACAAGGAAAACAGTTGACTATTGGAGCTCAAAAGCAAGCGACTGTGTTCTCAAAACAAATATAGGTATAAAAATATAATGTTTCTAACATCTGAATGAATATTTTGATTATCTCTTGTTCGTTACTCGTTCACTGCAAAAAATGTCTCCACACTCGAGAGGTATATCAAATCAACGCTTCGAGAAATATCACGGGTATTAGGATAATTTTAGATCGAACCTTGCTCCACCACCAAGGGAACCACTGCTGTCACCACCACCACTACCACTATCGACAACAACAACAGGAGTAACACCCCAAATAACAAACAAAATTGCCATTGGTCAGATTATCATTGCTACTTTTACTACTAACACCGCCACGATTACTACTGCGACTCTTACTACTGCTACTAGTATGGTATCTAACTAGTGTGCAATCTGATACTACAATCTGCTCATAGCTCAACCAAAGGTAATGACTGCTCATTTTGTATGATCCACTCATATTTTACTCATAAAGTGAGGGCCATCTCCAACAAAAATTTTTCGGTCAAAATGATATTCGGCAAAACCGAGGGGAAATAACTCTGAAAGATAAAGGTTTTTGGTCTGAAACAAAGAAGTGGCATTCGTTTTATGCGACTGGAAACAGTCATGACTGCTGTCCAAGACCTAAGTGTGAAAGCAAATTCCGTTATGGGGCCTTCACACAAGCCCCTGTTACAATATCCAAAGAATCGTAGATTAGAACCACTCGATTATCCTAACAAGAAAGTAGGCTGTTTACAGTTACAATTTCACTTAAAAAACTGCTTCACAGTATCTCTAAAAGAGACCCTATGAAATACTACGGCATTCCGATAACTGATTTGCAAGTCGATAAATGCTTTAGTAAAAGATTAGAATCATTGCTTACTACTGTGCTTATCAGTAAGGCAATGGTGGAAACAGAGGATTATCTATGGAAAGCCTCGACAACGTAGTATCAGAGGATCGACTGTTTTGAAACAATGGCTAGATCATCGTCGCCTGCGAGACAATAAATGCTAAGAAAATATCATTGAAGGGATTCAGTTTCCGCTTTACTTGGTATCGACCTGCTATATACATACAGAGACCATCTCCGTTGGGAAATAAATTAGGAACCCTGCTCAACAAGAGATATAGATAAAATAGAATCTAAAGCAAGCTAACCACTCTGATTGTGAAGGTTAATTTAGTTATTGCTTTCCATGGTGGCGATGAGTAGTGATTAGTTGCAACGTGCATTGGAATTCAGTGTCATGTTCACTAAATAAACACTGTGTATGCTCCTTACATTAAAAAGCGACCAAACTCATTCTGCAGTTGTTTTTTGCAGATGCTTTTACTTCCTTCTTTGTTTATTAAATATGCACATATACTCAGTTAACGTTGAAGAGGGGAGCCACGGTCATAGAACGGGTTGCTCGGGGAAATGGTCAGGACGGGCGGGGTTAGAACTCGGATCTCTAGGTGGCTGTTTTGATGACCTTAACCACTTGACCATAGCAGCCAGAATGGCTTCAATTCACTATTGGGCAGGAGCTAAAGTAGTGCGATGAATGTCCAGCGCAATGTGTATAACTGCGCACTTTCATTTCACACCGAAATATTTCACACAAAACTCACTCGGAGTAAGGGCCCAGGTTGGAGGTCTGAATTCCGGATTCTGTGCCGGCCAGTGGTGTCGTAGATCGCACCACCGCCACCACCAGTGCTCCACCATACTGGTCACTTGTGAGACCGATTGGTGTGGGGATTAATTCGCCAAAAATAATCATTCTTTAACCTGTGCAGAACAATCCGGAAAACCCCAGACACATGGAGAGAGGACAACGGGTGGGAGTTGTTGTTGTGACGATCTGCCTATTCGACCGAACTCGTGAACAGTGAAGCGGGAATGAGATTACCCTGAAGTTGCAGAAGATAAACCTTTCAACCAGGTGCGTCCTATACTCGACGACTGATTATATTGCGAAACTGTTCTGTTCTGTTCACTTCTTACAACCATTAACCATGCACTTTCGCACGCCGTTTTTGGTTGCTGTCTTTTGATGCCCCAATTGGATAGAAGAGCAGGATGAAGATTGGAATGTGGAAAGCAAATTCAAGTGGAAGATGGAGAATTGATATAGAAGGGTGTCAAGGTAATAATGAGTGGATGCACGAGTGCCATTGTTTGCAACAACCAGCCATATTATTCGGTGCCTTTAACCATCGGTGACCATCATCCCGAGGTTCTCAGCCCCAGCGCCTAACGGGACTTATGTCTCTTGGTTTGCATACCCTCATGCTAGGTCTTACTTTGACCGCCCTTGATTTTTTTCCAACCGCTACCTGCCTCGGTAAACATAGCTCGCCGGGGCAACCTATTTGGTGACATGCGTAGCACATGTCCCAACCAGCGTAATCTACCTAGGTTGACCACTTGCTCCAGTGGACGACCGCAATTATCTAAAACTACGAGTAATATCAGCATTGCTCGTCCCGTTACCCGACTGCATTCGTGAAATGTAACGAAGACAGCAATGTTCGAACACCGAATATGTGTTTTTGTCCCGTTCTCGTAGTGGCTAAGTCTCCACACCATAGAGCAGCACCGGTCTAACTGCTGTAGCATAAACTCGACCCCTGACAGATAGCCGGGTTTCGCAACGGCGCCACAAATGCCTCAAGTTCGCAAATGCCAATCGAGCCTTTTGTATGCACGCCGACACGTCATCTGTGATGCGTCCACCAGGTGAGATATAGCTGCCCAGATAGCAAAACTTATCTACTTTCTATACAGCTTACCCAGCCAGATTGAGGTTGAGGACTGGACTAACCCAATTTTGGAGCAGCATTTTACACTTTGAAGGTGCAAAAACGCTTACTAAACATGCCTCCACTAGCACTCAAACTATCCAGAAAAGCCTGCAACTTACCTGGATCTTCACTTAGTAGCACAATGTCATCTGCATACTCTGGATCAGACAGTTACACTCGGGAGTAAATTCATGTCACTATCTAAGAATGAAATCGATGATAAAGTTAAAAAGAAATGGAGAGAGAGCAATCCTGTCGAACACCACTTTCCGTGGTGAACTCGGGTGAGAAAGTGCCGTAAGCCCGAACTCGGAATCGGCTATTATTATAGAGAGATTGTAATGTTGAAATAAAATTCTCGTACACACCCTTCAGGAACAGGCAGCGCCAGAGTCTGGGGCGGTCGACTGAGTCGAAAGCCGCTTTCAGGTCGAGGAAGATGGAAATGGTGGGTCTACGAAAATAGTGTCTCTATCTTAGGATTTGAAAAAGAGTGAAGATTTGGTCGATACAACCTCGACCAGGTCTAAAGCCAGACTGGTTTTCACGTGTGCACTCTTCACGAGCGGCAGACAATCGCCGGAGTATGATGCCGGTGAGAAGTTTAGGGGCAATGTTGAATAAACTAATTCTTCTGTGGTTTTCATAAGAGGACCTGTCGCCCTTCTTGTAAATCGGTATGATCCACGAATCACACCATTCAGATGGAACCTGTTCACTACATATCCTTCCATTTGCCTGGACTTTCCTCGCCAGAAAACCTGCACAGGTTATCAAAGAGGTGCAAATCAGAGTTGACAATGAGAGAACCAATCAGACCTCTTTAGATTATCTGACAAAAACCACATTTTTTTGATGTGAGCTTTGTATATCGCGGTGTGGTCTCACTGGAAAATCGTCGACCCTCGTTTATCCTTCACAGATTCAAGGCGACGGATATCATTCACCACTCTGATGTGTACTGTAATATGCAAGGATGCAGGTTTTTCCAAATAAATTTAAAATTTAAATCTCCTGCGGAAAAGTTCTGGGGATTTAAGTCACTTATTCAACGTTATCATATATGCCAGAAGTTGTGTTGAACTGGAAAGCTCATGGAAAAGAGTTGCATAATGCTCCTTCACTTTTGAATCAATTTTACATGAATTGGTAAATAGTAAGGTAACTATGGAAATTCGAGTAACAGCTCCTTCGAATGGAACATCATAGAGCTTCTGATGTTCGATAGACCAAGAATCACAACAAAAAAGTAAAATGCTGTTGTAATACCTGCGAATTGTTTGATACTTTCCTTTTACACACCTGGAAGATCGATGCCACATGAGTGGCCGTTGTGAAAAGACGTCCTGGATCGTCCGTTGTCTCACGAACAGTTGGCCGGGTAGAGTTGATTGAGTCAGTATGTCCCGACCAGGGGAAACGCGTTGTTTCGGGCGTTTCCACCTTCTGTGATCGTATCAAGCTATGCAAAAAATCCGCCATCACGATCGATTTTCCACCCAATCGTTCTTCTTCACGCTTCTTCAACTCGTTCAGTTTGCATATCTTATTACGTAACGTGGATCGAGGAATCCCGTAAACACTGGCTGCACGCCGAGTACCAAGACGATCGAAGCAAATTGCTCGAACCGCAGCAGCCAGTTCTGCTTCTGTGTACGGGCGACGGGATAATTTGGTATCTTTCGGTTGTCTATTTTCAGTTGGTCGCGCAACATCCATGCCCGGTCGAGGACATGGATTCGACTTGTTCATCGTCTCAGACCAGTAGTTTGTCAGTCGACGTATCCGACCGAGTCGATACGAGCAGGAAGGGGAGAGTTCAGAGGGCAGTGATTTCACATGAGTCCTGGATTGATTCGAACGAGAGGCTATGGAAGGACTGTTGTTATAATACTGATGTTGTTGTTGGAGTGGTGGTGGTGGTGGTTGTATTGAAAAGCCGAGGGGTTGCGTAGACAATCCAGATAAGTGGCCTTCACGTATTGTATTTCTAAATGATTGGTAATAGAGATTCCGCCAGACGTGCATGTAGTCTGCCTCGGAGAGCCCAGAACAAGAGGTGATAGAAGTTTTCAAGGAACTCCATCCAAGTTTAACGGTATCAAATGAGGATTCCAGTATTGAAGTTGCCAAATTTGGAAGTTTAAATCCGTTCAGTGTTGCGCTAAATGCATAAGAAGGCAATTCCATTTAAAAGATCTTCACAGAAACATGTTATCGACACAGTTTGAGCATGTTAAGCATTTTAAAAAAATAATCAGTTATAGACATGAACTATTTTCACAACAGTCATTTTGTTTGCTTTCTACGTGCTTGACTAAACAGCAGTTTCTACGAACGGCGACATTGAAATATGGTGCTCCTCGTCCTTAGGAGTAATCAGGGGAAGAAAGAGTGCCGATACCGACAGATTTTTCCACTGGAACACCTGTCGTGTTCCTCCCTCGTAGAATAAGAAATTACGTTGTTCCACCAAAGCCAGCACGGGCACAACATTTTCAACGATGATATTTTACAAAAGGTCAACGGCCATGGAACATATTTTCCCAATGCTGTCACGTTTGTAGCACACATGAAACGATGAACTCGGAATGGTCGATCGCATCCGTGGAATAGCCCCCTAGGAGGGCGATTTCTTCAGTTGCATCGTGAAATGGAGATCAGCGGTCGGTTTCCAAGTGTTCACTGTCAGCGTCCTCTTAAAACCATACACAACTGATCATTCATTTTAGGATAATATAGGCATCGGATTGCAGACTTTCAGATTGAACGAAAACGTCAGGGGCTAATCGAAAGCCCCTATCTTATTACAGGCGTGTCAAAGCTATCCCTGAACAAGCATCCGTGGACGCTGTAGTTCTTCTAGATATTTCCCGGAAAGTCAATAGAATGAGCTGACCAACAATA